GGTGGGTCTTCCCCGAAACTAACTCGGGCATCATCGTGCTCGCTGAGGGACGGCTGATGAACTTGGGATGTGCCACTGGCCACCCCAGCTTTGTGATGTCCTGCTCATTCACAAACCAAGTGATTGCACAGCTTGAGCTTTGGAAGGAGAAGAGCTCTGGAAAGTATGAGAAGAAGGTCTATGTTTTGCCTAAGCATCTTGATGAGAAAGTTGCTGCTCTTCACCTTGGCAAGCTTGGAGCTAAGCTCACCAAGCTCACCAAGGACCAGGCTGACTACATTAGCGTCCCCATTGAAGGTCCTTACAAGCCTGCTCACTACAGGTATTGAACGGACAAGGTGAGACAATATCGGTTCTACTATCTGAACGGTTTGTTGTTTTTATTTCAATAAGTATTAGAATTCATTATAGAGCGAAAGGCTTCGATTTGTCATAAGAGGCTACGCAATTTTCATAAAAGCAAATAAATGAAAATCGTTTCAATTTTATTATCTTACCCGTATCATGTTTGTTTTGGAAGCACTTCCTATTTAATCTTTTCCCAAATCTCCTAAGGTGCATCCATGACTGAATGGTTAAAGCACCCAACCTATACCGACCTAAAAAGGGGAAAATTCATAGATTTGATTCTTGCTTGTGCCTACTAGAAAGAGGTTCAAACTCACGGGATGATTTAGTGTTAGAAGGATCTCCTCCCTTTAATAGGCGCAAACAAGAAAATGAATATCAATATGTATAAATTTCGTGTAGCTATGAGATTTGGTTAAAAATTCATCATTACTAAGCAATGTTGGTACTATAATGCGTGGTGTTCAAGAGCAATTCCATTTAAAATGAAGCTATGATAACATCAGTTTTTCAAGCTTTCATAATGTTCAACAATACTTTTTACAGAAGTACATGGATCCTCTTCTTGCTCGATCTCGATGAGCAACGACCTCCTGTCGATGCCTGCTAACGGTACAACAGTCGAACGGCTGCCAGCAGCTAGCTGTAGAATTACACATTCTCAGAATCAATCACAAGTATGCTGAAGGGCAGTTCTGATCAAGTAAGGATCATCTAGCTTAAGAAAAAAATGTCTTGTCTGAAACTCCTAAACAGCAATCCCCATCACACAAATAATGAACTTCACAATGAAGTGACTTCCATCAAGTCAAATGCATATTAACTGGGTTGACAACGTTTGGAGCTCGGATAAACCTCCAAGCTTTGACCTCTCGGTCCCGCCATCTCTACTTGTAAAAAGCGGGTGGGCGGGAATGGACGGGGATAAATCTCTCTCTATTCCCTCCGGGGATGGGTCATTCTCAGCCTCTCAGCCTTTAACTAACGAAGATAAGATCTTTCACAAAAATACGCCCTAGGAGATATATATCTCTACCTTTCTCTTCTACAACACTTTTTCCTATAGTAGCCATGAGTTTCTCCATATGAAGCAAGTATATGCAACCAAGAGGTGTAACGGGCCAGAGTGGACAATATCTACTAGCAATGAACTTGGACTCTTATAAATTGATTGGATTTGCACCAATAGAAACCATAAATTTGATTAAGAGTCAGTCACTGGGCAGTGTTCTAGCGATGGCGATATATAACGGGCTAAAGCAGACCATATCTATTAGCGATGGGCTTGGGCTGTTACAAATAGTATCAGAACTAGAGCCAGTCATCGGGCAATATGCCAGCGAGGACGCTAGGCTTCCAAGGGGTGGATTGTGAGATCTCACATTGGTTGAATTGTATCTACTAGCGGTGGACTTTAGTTGTTACAAAAGTTGAGGTGAGGCGGATGGTGATATATACGGGCCAAAAGTTGAGGGGAGGCTGATGGTGATATGTACGGGCCAAAGCGGACAAATCTACTAGCGGTAGACTTTAGTTGTTACAAGAGATTAGGTGAGTAATGAGCCAAAGCCGACAATATTTTCTAGCAAATGGATAAAGAAATAGTGGGTTCCTTCGTTTCTATGGTTACTTCTTAAACGGTGAGGTCCTCTCTATACACCGGAGCTCCTTCTTTTATTTCATCAATGTTATTGTTAACTTGTACAGTTCACCCTCTTTGGCTCTACCCATGAATTAGCTAGTAATCGGTCTTTCACAACGAGATCTACCTATACAGTAACGGTATTTAATTATGAAGATTAGTTGGGTAGCTGACCCTCTTAGTCCGTTCTTGGAAGAATAAGGCCATACTTTCGTTTTTTTCAACACAAGAACACAAGAACAAACCTCACAAGATTAGGAAATCCATCAGAACTACACAAACCCTTATGGCTAAATCAAGTCAATACTATACAAAATCACAGACCCCACTAAACAAAACCAGAGAACACAACCAAATCTCAAGCCTCCCCCATGGAAAAACCCCAGATCTCATCACAAATCAACAATGCAGCACATGAACACACCAATCCAAACCCAAATCAACAATCATATCTCAAACCCACATTTCAAAAACCAAATCAAAAAATCAAAACACTATTCCTCACATTACCTTCGCCATCGCCATTGCCTTCAAGTGTTTATATCGTGCACATCTCTAGCACATCTAGTAATGACCTCGCACCCTCGATCATACGAATTCGCCGGACCAGGATGACATTCATAATAAGAAACCCCTGGTCTAGAACAAGGAACCATATCCCTTCTAAGAGTTTCATAGCTTATATACCTCTTCTGCATCATCAACACTCGCCTACTGATCTCCGATTCCATTTGTGGCTCTGTTAGGCACTCTCCGATCTTCTGATTGCAAACCCCTTTGGGCATTAAATCGATTTGGTTGCCCTTCAAAGATCTGAGATCAAGAACAGCATCGCAGAAGGGGAAATGGGTTTGAAGGAAAATGAGTGGAAGGAGGATGGAAAGAAGGAAGAACAGAGTGGGTTTTGCCATTTTTGAAGGGCTTATTTGCACTGTTTCGTCTTCTTCTCCAGCAATATGGGCTCTGAATGTGAGATTCTTTATTGGTTGGATGTTCAAATGGAGTAATGTTTTTGCTTTTGCTTTGCCTGAAATAAATGAAATCCCAAAAAATTTAAATGAAAATTGAGCTTTCTCTATCAATATAAGTTGGGAGTAATCCTTTTGTCAACTGTCATAATTCACACCAAAGACAATTTTGCACACTTTAAAAGTATACCATTAAACCATAGAATATTCACTTTTTTTTTTTTTTTTTAAATAGAAATTTATGTTCTCGTTTTTTAAGTATGCCCGACCAAACCCTAAAAGTGAACGGTCAAGCCCGATGTGAGCTCAAAGTTCAACCAACCTAATACACTCGAGCCTAAAACACGACGACTTGGCTGATTGGTAAATATAGGTTAGAGCTTATATCATTATATTTACTTAATTTATTTCAAATATTTGGTATTTTTTATAATTTATAAAATTAAAATATTGGTATTGCAAACCTTCTTTTAGTTTTTTTTTAACTCCTCTATAAATTATATATATATATACACACACACATATTCCCTTAGAAACAAAACAAAAATTAAATATTTAAAAAAAGAAAAAAGAAATTATACAATGGGAATAAGATGATCCACCAAGGGCCGGAATCTGACCACTAAATTTGTCGGTGGGTTTCGGACATAAATTCAAAAGCCCGACCCGACCATTAAATATAATAAATATACATAACATTTTAAAAATAAATAATAATAATAATAATAATAATATATATATATATATATATATATATATATATATATATATATATATATATATATAATCCAAAATCAATCAATTTGCCTTAGCTTTGAAGTTGTTTTGTGTGGGATAATGGGTTAGGTCCATTCCACCATGTTTTAGGGATATAATAAATATTTTTACAAAAACAACAAATTTAAGAGAAATTATTGTAATAATTATTTGTTTGATTAAAAAAAGTTTAAAAATTAAAAATTAAAATAACTTTTTTTTTATCTCACTTTATTCATATACCCCTTATTTACTTGAGTGTCACACGTCTACTAGCTTTGGTTCGTCCTTGCGACATGATCACATTACTTATTTCTCGTTTCTAAAAGTGAAAACTATCCACACTAACTAACTTAAGAAAAATTTGGTTAGTCCTTTCAACATGTTTTGTCATCACCCACAAGATTCCTAAGAAAATTCTTAGGAAATCACCCAATATAAGATTGTTCCAAACAAAGTATGTTTTAACTTTAGAGTTTTTTATGTTTAAACGACCAAAAAGAAAAGTGCACATTGTTTGTATAGATAATAACTCTTGATTATTATAGTATTTCTTAGTCATTTTATTCTTAAGATCACTCTCAATCAGATGATGAGGCATCGGTTCATTCATGTACCCCTTTACTCGGGTGTCGCACTTCTTACCTGAGATGATACCCAAAATCAAATACAATACTTACAAGTTTTAATATAACTTCACAACAATTAAAACTGAAAAAGAATCTTGAATGTCACACTTCTTACCCGAGATGATACCCAAAATCAAATACAATACTTACAAGTTTTAATATAACTTCACAACAATTAAAACCGAAAAAGAATCTTGAATGTCACACTCCTTACCCGAGATGATACCCAAAATCAAATACAATACTTACAAGTTTTAATATAACTTCACATCAATTAAAACCGAAAAAGAATCTTGATATATAATACAATACTTACAAGTTTTAATATAACTTCACATCAATTAAAACCGAAAAAGAATCTTGATATATACATTTGTTGTCGTAGCTATATTAAGATAAACTCAGCAGTTGGAACTTATTCTTATAAAAGAAATCTATCCAAACCACGTTTTGTTCGATCCATACAATATATTCCCCTCTAAAAAGTACTTTTAGTCATACAAAACCAATGGCCCAAGCCTTTTATATTTACAATATATTCCCCTCTAAAAAGTACTTTTAGTCATACAAAACCAATGGCCCAAGCCTTTTATATTTCTCTCTTAAAACACATACCCCATAGAACAAGAAAGAGTTCATAGTCTCTTCATTTTTTTTCCCCAATTATAATTAAAAAAATATTTAAAAAAAAAATCCAATTTGTATAGAAACTTAGAATAACTCACAGGAAGAACAGGTGCAGGGATTGGATTTTGCTTCCCTTTTGGTAGGGTCAGCTATCATTCTCAACTTGTGGCTGTTTCCCACTTGGTTCATAAACAGGCCTAGCTTTAATCACAACCACAGGAGAAATCAACTTGTGGCTGTTTCCCACTTGGTTCATAAACAGGCCTAGCTTTAATCACAACCACAGGAGAAATTAAAATTGAATTATCCATAAAATATTTTCAATATTGTTAACTGATCATATTGACATTCTATCCATTTCTAACATATTGCTTATCCTAACAACTTGAGTATATAAATTTCTATAGTTGTATTCACGATAATAGAAATAAACACCGCCCTCCTATCATTCACCAAGTTGAATAGATTCGTAATGAACTAAGTAATAGTATGTTTTATTTGATAAAGAGATGGAACTAGAATGAGCAAAGACAAAAAAAACTACCCGAGGTTGATCTAATGGTACATGAGTGTAGATGTAAATAAGAATGAGCAAAGACAAAAAAAACTACCCGAGGTTGATCTAATGGTACATGAGTGTAGATGTAAATAGAGAGATTTAGAGAAAATGGACTCCAGTCGTGTAGCCACCTATTCAAGATTTAATACTTTTGTGAGTTTTACTTCACAGATATCTAAAAAGTAAATGAACAAAGACAAGGCTCAAAGACAATTTATTCGTGAGTTTTACTTCACAGATATCTAAAAAGTAAATGAACAAAGACAAGGCTCAAAGACAATTTATTCAATAGACAATGCACTCTCCATGCCCAAATGGAGAAGCAACTCGGCATAAATTCATTTATGAGTGTGTTCATTAGCAATATTTCCATCAAGCACAGATGAAGTATTCATGGTAAGATAAGATCTTTAATAAGGTATAGATTTAACTAGCTAATCGTTCATGAATGAACAACATTTTACGCTGTTGTAATGTACAAGGAAGAACTCGTTGCAACAACGTACGAGTAACTCGACAAATCACATAGCAACTATAAAAAGAAACTGCAAATCATATTTCAGGATTCATTTATTGTATAACTGAATGTCTAAATTAGAATGAACGATAGAAACAGAGAAATCTAAATAAACTGTGAGAAAAGCTTTGGAATTACCTCTCCAGTTAAAGTGATAAGCCTGATCTCCCATCGTCTGGCTCCTTGTATAGATTTTCCCTGTAATTAGAACTTGCCTCTTCACTTTCGGGACAACCCGGTCTTTCGGTAAGAAACTGTTCCCAGAAAACATCATTGACTCTTACAGGGTTGGCTGGAGGTCCGTGATTGTTACTTGAGGTCTCCTTTAGACAAAATGTACTGGTTCCCTCGTCGAGATTGATGTTTTTAGTGAACAGTCTCATATCTGATTCTTTTCCATTTGATACTTTTGAACCGGATGATTTTCGAAGATTCTGACCCAGTTGTGGCATTCTAACCGAATAATCGGCGTCGTTGACTTGCAGGGAAGAAGATGCAAGAGTGAGATTTAAATGACAGGAAATGTGATTCTCTCCATCTTCTTTGGAACTAACATTTGGTTGCAGTGAGTGCAGACATGGACTCTCGTCGTTAGGCGATTTCCCCGACAAAGATGAATCCCTCTTCAATACAAATGATGTCCCAGTGTCTGAAAGATCTAATGTTTCAGCTGCAAAATGATGACTTTCTTGGACACCTCTAGTGTCAAGTTTTGACATGTTTCTTTGTGAACTTCCCCCTCCTTCATTTGAACTCTGAGTGCTACATGAAAGTAAGTTAATATCCGATACGCTCGAAGTTTCTAATCTCATCTTATGTGAGAAATCTTGATGAAAAATATTCCCAGACTCGGATCTGGAACTGCTATGGTTATCCAAAAAACTATTTTCAATGGCTGGCTGTGAATGATCACCTGAAGGCAATCGTCTCTTTTTGTTAAACGCTGTAAAGTCCATAGACTCGACTCTCCGAGCAAGATGCTCAACAAAAGAAGGGTTCTGAACAGCCTTTTCTAAAAATGCCAATAAATTCTTCTGCCTTTTTTCCATGCTTTCCACCTTCACCGTTAGATCCTGCAACTGAATTTTAGCAGTCGATTTTTGCTGTTTGAACCTAGAGATATCGGCTTCAAGTGTAGTTTTTTTACGCGATAGCCTATCTATTTCATCTTCAAAAGCAGCTCTTTCTGGATCTACAAGAGATCCTGGAGGAGTACTGTGACTATGAATTGGTTTTCGACGGTGGATGTTTTTCAGCAGATGCTTTTGATCCTTTATGAAATCATCATTTGCAAATTCCCACCTCTCAGAATCAATCTTCTTAAACCCCTGCAAACAAAATGTTCAAAAATTGCATGTTTAAGCAACTTTTTAATGCCGTAGTCACTTCAATTTTTCAAAACGAAAGAGTGATATAGTTTTCGTATAAAATGAGGTGTACAGCAACAATTATTCAAGAGATTCTAGCATGATAGATGGAAAGATCATACAAGCACATAAATGATTCATACGGCGGTAAGCAAACCATAAAGGAACCCTTCAAACTACTTCCACCCAAGGGACGATTCTTTTATGAGTTCAAGAATCACGTATTAATAAATTGGAATTGCGAGGAGAAAAGAAAATTCCTCTCAGAAAACAGTTCTAAGAAGTCGAAGATATAAGAATCTCGAAGCTAGGAGATTGCACATTAGATTAGCATAAACAGACCAAATTTAGTTTATGACAGTTAAATCCCTACGAGTTACAGCAATTGAAGCTCATAAATATAGAAACATTAAGAATTGCTGAAACGAATATGCATACTATGTAAATGAGAGAGAGAGAGAAAAAAAACAGTAACTGAAGTCATGATTACACGATAAGGAACTACTCCTTAGCCAGTTAACAAGAGGAACAAAATCAAATCACCGAAACGTGAAAAATCAAAACTAAGAAGTAAACAGAAGAGGAATTTCCAGTAACTTACATAGGTATTAAGCTGCCGAATGAAGCTGGAGAAGTTGTTGTGCTTGAAAAACGTAGGAAGAAGAAGGCGAGCGAATTCAGGGGGATTCCATACCACAAAGCTCTTCTTCGAAGAAGTCCACGAGACGATCTCGTCGGTGGCAGATTCATCGACCATATCGTAGGTCTTGATGAGAAACGGCGCTGGACCAGCACCGCCAGTGCCTCCGCCGCCAGCAGCTGCCTCCATTAACGGTGAACAACGGCGGATCAGGATGTGAATCGATCACCGAAAGTGGTGCTGAAAAGGAGATTTAGAGATGAAGATTACGCAGAGGAAGGTGAGTTTTTGGTGAGTAATCGACAGGTGAGGTTCTTCGAGATTGACTTCGCTCCACCCGCTTCTTGCCGTTCTTCTCTCGTTTTTTTTTTTTACAAATTATTTTCTTAAATATAAAAAATATATATTTTTTTTAAATTTCATGTCCTTCCATATTTGTCTTTTTCTATTTTATTAATTTATATTTAATTTTAATTTCATTTGAGTCCCTACTTCATTTTTCTAACTTTCTCGTAATTAAACAAGATTTGGGTCCCTGTGAATTAAATAAACATCTCTAATTATAATTGTTGACTTCTTAACCGATGATGTATATTTTGTCAAATAATTGTCTAAGTGGACGTTGACAAGTTTTGTTACTGTTCCTCGAGTGTTTTAAACAATTATAAACCGTGCTTGTTGTCTTCAGCTTTCCCGTGCTTTTACCCTAAACAACAACTAATTGGACGAGAAGGGTAAATTATAACTTTGTTAGTTATTTTTATTCGTTCGTCAAACTTGATTATAACAATGTCATTGGACTCTCGATTTTGCATCTAAAATTCCTAAACCTTCTCGATTTAACCCTAATACGGCACAATGTTGTTAATCAGAGATTAAGTTGCACTGTATCAACTCAATCATGCACGATTAACTAGTTTTGAGAAAACTCGTTAAACAAGACTCATCGAGTCTCTCATTTAGTAGCTGGTAAACGTATTTTGATAGTTAAACGCAATTTAAATGAAAACATCGAAAATGGTCAGACATACATGTTTTATGACATAACCAATAGCCTCGTTAGTGTTCGTTTGTGTTTATTGAGCGTTCTTCACTTCAATGTCATGCACTTTAATTCGCTTCATAGTTATATAAGATAGACCACTATTTGGGTCTCGGTCTGGAGTGACTTCAAAATTGTGGAATGATTAGAGTGTACAAGAGCTGAGTTCGGTTAACCAAATTTTAGGTTGATTAGATTGGTAACCTAAGGAACCGTGGAAGAAATTAAAATTATTTATAAATTAATCCATTTTTAGATTCACCCACTAAAACAAGCCGAAATAACGCAGTTAAAAAAAATAATAAAAATAAAAAATAAAATAAAATAAATAAACAAATAAAAAAATAAAGCTACCCGTCTTAAAATCCTCAAATTTGCTCCCGCAAGTCAAAATGGAAATCCACGTTAATAAAAAAAAAAAAAAAAAAAAGAAAAAAAGAAAGCCCCACTCCCCACGCCAACGCCAACGCCAACGCCATCCACCACTCCACCCCACCCACCCTGGGCGGCGGCTTACCTGTCCCTCCCACACCTCCACCATCCCCCTTCACTCACCGCCCAATCGCGTTCGGCCATGTCACCCTTCCTCCCCTACGCCCCCAGCGCACTTTATCACCCCCCTCCCCCGGCGCACCCTAGCCCTCCCCCCCTAGCGGTGGCCACATCAAAATCCTCCCCTTCTCTCTCTCTCTCTCCGCCGCTCCCTCAGATCTCCCTTCCTTCCTTCATTTATCTCCTGGGTTTTCCCCAGATCTCGCATCCTTCAACCGTTGTTTCCTCCGTCGTAAATGGTTTCCTCTGCTATGGATTCTCCCTCGTCACCGAACGACGGATCTCCTCCTTCCAATCCCCTTCAGCCGCTGCCGATTTCTACCCCTTTACCTCCTCCATCGAATCCGCCGCCTCAGCCTGTAGCCTCGGCGTCATCTCGCCGTCTTCCGCCCCCCTGCTGGACTCACGATGAGACGATTGCTCTCATCGATTCGTATCGCGACAAGTGGTATTCTCTCCGTCGCGGGAATCTCAAAGCCACTCACTGGCAGGAGGTTGCTGATTCCGTTTCTCATAGATGTCCTAACGCGTCGCCGCCGAAGACCGCCGTACAGTGCCGTCATAAGATGGAGAAGCTCCGGAAACGGTACCGGACCGAGCTTCAGCGGGCCAGGTCTATGCCGCTTTCGCGATTTATATCGTCTTGGGTTCATTTTAAGCAGATGGATGCTATGGAGAAGGGCCCGTCGGCGAAGCCGGATGAGTCGGATTCCGGTGGGGAGGAGGATGATGAAGACGAGGAAGACGATCAAGAACTGTACGAGGAGTTTAGGAACGCTGGGGCTTCTGCGGCTCGGAGTGTGAGGAAATTGTACGGAAATGGAATTACCAGTGGGGGAAGTAACACTGGTGGCGGTGGTAATGGCGGAGATGGAACCGCTGCCGGAGGGTTTCGGATTCGAATTCCAACAGGTGTGAGTATAGCGCAACCAGGGTTGAAAAATTATCCGAAAGCGGAACACAAGATGAACCCTAACCCTAACTCGAATCCAAACTCTGGGACGAACATGAACCCTGCAGCTGTTAATTTCGGAACGAGAGTCGTGAGGGAGTCGAATCCAGTGAGGCCGGCGACGGGGAAGAGAGGGGAGAGGGAAAGGGAACGAGAGCCAGTTACAGAGATGGTGTCCGCCATTAAAGCTCTGGGAGATGGGTTTGTAAGAATGGAGCGGATGAAGATGGAAATGGCCAGAGAAATCGAAGCCATGAGAATGGATATGGAGATCAAACGAACAGAGATGATTCTGGATTCACAGCAGCGGATCGTGGAGGCTTTTGCCAAGGCTGTTTCAGAGAACAAGAAGAAGATCAAGAGAATTCCTTCTCCAGGGTCCTAAAATGGCTGCCCCCTGTTCATTCCATCGCCATTCTTGAGCTCAAATTAGCTTCAATTCCAAATGGGTTTTCATCATTCATCTCAAATGATGACATGCTGCAGAGATTTTCAGGTTCTGTAAGTCGAAAATGATCTTAGTTAGGTACCTTTTCTAGTCATTTCTCATGTTCATCCTACTTTTTTCTTCTTTTACATTGTTTTTTCCTCATCTTTGACTGGATTAGCTAGATTGTCTAATCAATGTAGCCATAAAAACTTAGGTAAATTCTCACATATAGAGGTAAATTATTGAGTTTGTTTGTTCTCTGCAAGTTTAGCATGAAGATAAAGCTTCTCCTCTGTGTTGTTCTCTCTGAATCTTCTGATTTTGCTGCAATTTCTACCTTTTTCCATCCATGGCGAAAAGGGAACTTCAAAATGTGGAGAAATAATCTGTCAATGGCTATAGATTTGCCTTTTTCTTTAAGCTTTTGTGATGCTGAGTGGTCTGTCTTGAATTGTGAAGCTTCTGCTGCTTTAGTTGATGGATTGTGACCATTTTGATTCTAGAAAAGGGCAGTTTCCTTTGGATTTCTCTGCGTTTGTGTTCATGGCCATTGATAGAATGAAAGCCTTTTTGAAACCCTTTTGTTGGGAGGCAGTTTATGAGCCAATTCATTGGATTCATAGTGGTTCTAGGAAGTTAGGAGGGTAGAAAGTGCCTTCTTTTTGAAGGTTGCTCTTTGAATTTTCTTTGTTGGAAAGCCCCCATTAGTAATAAGAGTTTCGTGTTGCTAGCCCGGGTCGCACCGTCGTTCTATGATTTGCAGCCTGATACATTTTCATTATGTTACTTAGCCAAACTCGTCGCCTCATATGCCAAAATTAAACAGTTTCGCATTGCTTGCCGCTCTCGTGATCAAACACGGGGTTGCACTGTCGTCATACTATGGTTTGCAGCCTTTCCCTTTTCATTATGTTTCTTAGCCAAACCCGTCACCTCATATGCCAAAGTCAAACAATTGTTCTTTCTTCAACGTTATCAACCTAACCCATCTCGAGTTATGCTTTTAAATTAGATTTGTTCGTGTTACATGATCAAACCAGTCAAGTTTATTTTTAATTTTAAAATATACCTTGGATACAATTATATATACATAGAAGATAAGAACGTATTAAATTAATATATATATATATATATATTAAATATAAAAGATAATGGTGTATTTAATTTGAAAAATTATATTTAATATGTTTGATATCGTAAATATAAATATATTTAATTTATATTAGATATATTAATGAAATATATATTTAAAATTTGAAAAGATTCCTATTAAACAAACGCCCTACACCTCCATAAGTTAAACGTAATTTAAATATGAAATAAATTTAGAAAAATTCGTAAATTAAAAAAGAATCAATATTGTTTTTCCTTGTCCATATTAATGATTAGTTATTTAATGGATAATATAAAATATTTTAAATATATGTGGAGATAATTGAAATAAGGAGCAATTTAATAATTTATGAAATAAAATTGATATTTTTTTTTGTTCATAAATAAAGAAAATACTTCGGAAAAGAATGCAAATATCATCCGGAGAAGCAAGGGTAGAGCACTGTGTCATACGCGCTTCACGCGCGCTATCAGACGGTGAGAAAAAGGTCCACACGGGAAGCACATGGTCCGAGTGACAGACAAGTACTACCTTTTTTGCTTTTAAGTAAACGTCCTCCTTATTAGGGTTTCTAATTTTTCACCGGTCTACATATTCTCAATTTTCTTTCCATCTTCTAGGGTTTCGTTTTTTGTTTCGAATATCAATTTCTTCTCTAATCGCTCGTTTTTCCGAAAAAGATTTCGTATTTCCACCACCTGATTTGCAACTCTCAGATTTTCTAGGGTTGTTTTTTCGTCAACGTTTCAGATCTGTGTCATTGTTCTGACAATTCTTTGACGTTGTTGAGATGCCTCCAAGGACGGTAAAGAGAGGGGCGGCATCGGCCGGGTCGAAGAGAGGTGGAAGGGTCACAAGAGGGACACCGAATAAGAAACAACAGCCGCTCGAACGGGAGGTTGCCGAAGAGACGGTGAAGGTCGAGGAGGTCTCGGTGGTTGAGGTGGAAACCAAGGAGATTCCCGAGGAAGTAACGGTGCAGGAAAAAAGCCCTGTTGTCGAAGACGAGCCAGTCATTCCGAATATGCCGGTAGGTGTCGAAGATGAGCCAGTCATTCGGAATAATCCGGTAGTTGTCGAGGAGAAGCAACCTGTTGCCATAGACGTTGAGGAGGTCGAACCTTCGCACGAAGTCGGATCGGATTCTAAACCCTTGGTTCCTCCTAAAAGTAAGTATTATCTTCCAAATTCGAGACGTCTCCATTAGGGCAAGAATCTGGTTTCCTTTCCTTTACGTTCGTTTAATTGATGGGTAAATACTAATTCTATTTGTCTGGTATTCAATGGTGGAATTCGTGACTGATAAGTGTAGTTAGTACTTGAGACATGACCTTACCTTTTGCATTATATTTTTAAGTGTCTTTTTTTTTTCTCAAGATACTGAAATAGATGGATGTAATTACGTGAAGAAATAAGTTCTAGGTTATCTGTGATTTTTTTTGTAAAATTTTCTTCTGAGGATAGATATGTGATGCTCACGATTGTCTCAGAACAGTGCGTACTTGGGTACAATCTAATTATTTTTGTACCCTCTTTACCTTAGCTCATATTACTCAGGTTGTATTGGTATAGTGAGCGTGGGTATGCTTGCTTGAAGCTGGACATATTTCGATGCCAAGTTTAGCTATGCTTTGGGTTTTAATTTTTAATGTATCCAGTGTATTTCTTGAGTGAGTTGTTGACCGGGATAGATCTTCAATGTACATCTCGTTTCAGAAGAAGTAAAGGATGAAGAATTTGAAAAGGATGAACGCTTGGATCTTGAAGACAATGATCCTGAATCAGAACCTGAGGAGGAGTTTGATGAAAAAGATATTGGACAAGCGGATGTACAGGACATGGTATATGGAGAGGGTGAACCTGAGGACAATGTGGGCGATGGGGAGGGTGTTATGGGTATAGATGATGTTGAGCATGTTCAGGAGGATCATGAGGGAGAGGAGGATGATCAGCAAGTTGCTGAAGGCCATGAGAATGCTGGCATGGTTGATGCTGATGAGGATGAGCATCATGAAGTTGTAGAGGAGAGGCGTAAGCGCAAAGAGTTTGAAGTCTTTGTTGGGGGCTTGGACAAGGATGTAAAGGAGGAGGATTTAAAGAAAGTTTTCAGTGCAGTTGGTGAAGTTACTGAAGTCAGGCTAATGATGAACCCTCAGACGAAGAAGAATAAAGGTTTTGCATTTTTACGTTTTGCTACAGTTGAAGAGGCAAAACGTGCTGTGTCAGAGCTAAAGAATCCAGTGGTAATTTTGGCCTTTTAATCATTTCCTCTTTTTTTAGGATGATGAAATTGATAAGACTTGGATATACCACCTCCAGCTTATTTTATTTAATTAATGAAATTCCAGATTAATGGGAAACAATGTGGTGTGACTCCAAGTCAAGACAGTGACACCCTTTTTCTTGGTAACATATGCAAGACATGGAAAAAGGATGTTGTAAGTCGTGGATTTTTCACATTCTATTGATCAGTGAGTTTTTTTTTTTTGTACACGAGTTGTAAATTTCCTGACACTATGATATTCCTATATATGGATCCAGCTGTTTTTTTTTTTGTACACGAGTTGTAAATTTCCTGACACTATGATATTCCTATATATGGATCCAGCTGAAGGAGAAGTTGAAACATTATGGAGTTGATAATGTTGAGGATCTGACTTTGGTAGAAGATAGTAATAATGAAGGATTAAATCGTGGATTTGCTTTTTTGGAATTTTCATCTCGCTTGGATGCCATGGATGCCTTCAAGCGTCTTCAAAAAAGGGATGTTGTATTTGGAGTCGATAGACCTGCCAAAGTGTCTTTTGCAGATTCTTTTATAGATCCTGGTGATGAAATTATGGCCCAGGTTAGCATTGAGATAACTATTTGACATTATTCAATTCAAGTGCTGTGTAATTAATTTTTCTGGTAAAATAAGCTATTGGAATTAAATTATTGTTACTACCCACTCTGTTTTAAGCTTGTAGAGGTCAGAAATTATCTTTTGATGAAGTATTGAACATTTAATTGTTTAGTATGTACGTTGTTTAGCTACTGNTTTCAATATATATGATTTATTTTTTTTGTTTTTTTTTTTTTTTTTTTTTTTTTTTTTTTTTGCAAGTGTTCCTCATGTTCAGTCTGTTGGATGTGTCTTTCATGCATTTTGTTTCATCTTTTCAGCTGTCATTGTATGTAGTTGATATATTGCTATTATTTTCACACTGTTTCTGTTAGAATGCAATGATATGAAATTGTTAGTGTCACACAAACAGGTCAAGACTGTTTTTGTTGATAGTCTCCCTGGCTCATGGGATGAGGTATTTGTTCGAGGACTTCTTAAGAAGTATGGGGAGATTGAGAAAATTGAGCTTGCCCGAAATATGCCTTCGGCAAAGAGAAAGGACTTTGGTTTTGTTACATTTGACACACATGATGCTGCAGTTTTCTGTGCAAAAAGTATTAACAACGCAGAGCTGGGTGAAGGGGACAACAAGGTGTGTAGTTTCTTGAAGAACTGATGGGATTTACTTTTGAAGGTTCTTCTCAGGTTTCTGTTCTGAAACTCATGTTTTTTTTCCCCCCCAATTTCTATGTCTATTAGGCTAAAGTAAGGGCTAGATTATCCAGACCACTGCAAAGGGGTAAAGGAAAACATGCAAGTCGTGCAGATTATTGGCCTGGGCATGCAACTGGACGAGCATTAAGGGGTTCTTGGGGACGACCAGCTCCACAAAGTCTTCCAGTTCGAGTAAGAGGTGTAGGCAGCCATTTCCCACCAGTCAGTGTAAAGAGGCCTGGTGGGGTTAGAGATAGACGTCCTGTCATTGCAATGCCAGAACGAGGAAGACCTATTGCTCCTGTAGCAAGGTCTTATGACAGGGGACCTCCTGGTATGCATCTTTTTTAATGACTGATGAATTCTATATTCAACTTAAAGTTGTTAATTTTTGGTTTATTTGAACAGTTGCTTCTTACTCAAAGAGTAGTTTGAAAAGAGAGTATGGTCGACATGAGGATCTGCATCCATCCAGAAGCAGGGTACTTGTTGATTATTCATCCAGGGTTGTACCTGATCGAAATGCATCTTTCAGAGAGGAATATGCTTCTCGTACAACTGCCTTCTCAGATCCACCTAGGAGAGCTTATGTGGACGATGATTATGGTCGAAGGTTTGAGAGACCCCCTCCTCCAAGCTACCGTGATGTTCGTGCACGCGATTATGATTCTCTAGTTGGATCAAAACGTCCATATTCTTCATTGGTAAGATTTATTATTTGCATTTCTTAGTACTTGTTGCATTTGATTTCCCATTACAATGCCCCATCTAACTTTTTTGGCCAAATTTTAGAGTGATGTGCCTCCAGCTTATGCTGATGCTGGTGTTCGACAATCAAGAAGTCGTTTGGACTATGATTATGGTGCTGGTGCTTCTCAATATGGAGATGCCTACGACAGCAGGTTTGTTAAATTCCCCCCATCCTTGGAGCACAGAGATAGAGAAATAGATGATAAATCAAATATCAAGGGACAAATAAATAGTCTGCTATTTTGTTAGAGAAGATGTACTTGCAATTTACTAGTTACTTTGACTTTTAGTTTTATATTTTTATTAACTTAGATGTCATCTGGTTGATAGGATTGGAAGATCAAATATTGGTGGATATGATGGTCGAAGCTCCATCTCAGGTCAGGGCTTATACTAGGGGTGTACACATGTGGCAGCCAGCAGGCTGTTGGATACGGAGGAAGTGTATGTGATGCTAGGTTGACAAGTGTATAACATTGTTGTAAGCTTATGATTTTCCATTGATTTTTCAGGTTCTTTTAGTAGTGATGTTGGTGGAATGTACTCGTCCAGCTATGGTGGTGATTACATGACACGTGGTAGCAATGTATGATTATTATTATTATTGTGCATACATTTTGTGTTCTCGATTTCTCTCATTTGAGGAGATCTCTTTTGTTTTTTGATAGGTGAGTGGCAGCTCTTACTCATCAATGTACCATGGGCGCAGTGCAGGGGGCAGCAGTTATATGGGTAGTGGCGGGTCTGGATCATACTATTGATTGATGTGAGTCAAATTTCACCTTTTTTGTTCCATTTCTTCCATAATTCTGTTTTCTCCTTTTTCTTCCTTTTCTCCTTTTATTTCCCCTCCCTCTTTTTCTAAGTTGGAGACCTTTTCTTTCTTCCTATGAAGGATTCCATTCTCTTTTCTTTTTCCCCCCTAAGAAGAGTGTTTAGTGGAAGTGGAACAATATGGTCACAAGTTATCTGTTTATGGAACAGACTTGATATGATAAAGAGGCTCCTGTAGGATGTGGACAATGTTTGGAAGCTTTTGCATTATCTGCCTCTACGGTTCTGGGAAGGAAAATTTATCAAGATTAACGGCCTCTAAACTTTATTTCTAGAGTATGATCGAATGACGTAACATACTGGTTAAGTTGTTAAGACCTTGCTGGTTTTTGATATTTGTAATTGGACCATGTAAGGGAACTCGTGACGTATTCAGAAATGAAGAAAGACGTGCCTGATTGTGCATATTCATAAGTTGCATTTATGTAAGTTTTCTCTTGAGAACACGTCCTGAATAGTTGGAAGGTGGGTGGTTTTGTATCCCCTTTTTGTTTTGGAGTACAGACATCAAATATGGGGGTTAAGTGGATTTCGTATTATACTGTATTGGAGCAGTGTTGTCTTGGAACCCTCTACGGTAACAGTTAGCAACAGGCACATATGATTAATATGAAAGTAAATAGTGGATGTGGTTATTTGATGCAAGAAATGCTGAGCTTTTTGGATATTTTATAGCCCTGATAAAAGGCCCTGAAGTGGAGTAGTGCTCCATATATTTGTTACTGTTTATTTATTGGCTTAAGTAGAGATTACTTGGAGACTTTTATTCAATATATCTATTGTAACTTATTGGTATTCTAGTTCTTTCTTAGACTAGGTGGGGTACAATTTTTGAAATTGTTAGTTCATTTCTTACGTTCTTTCAAGTTGTTAGCTCTGATGACTGGTCCCATGCGTGCGAGAGATGTGGACGGGGTTGGTTAGGGAGAGGCCGACACGTTTCCTTTTCATTTTGTTTGGAAGATGGAAGCAACATAAGTCTTATTTTCTTTCATTTTTTGGTTTAATCTGGACGAAAGGATTAAGGCATCATTCGATATTGGTCAGGGCAGGCACCCAAATAAAAGGATAACTGTTTTAGAATTAGGAGTGAAATGATTTTGTTCAAGAAACTGGTGCATGGCTGAGTTTTGTGTGGGCATTGTATGATTTGATCGTTCTTTTTCACCGATGAGAAATACCAAATGTTTTGAAATGCTGTGCGAGAGGGCTTCTTCCTCACCTATATTTTGATTCCAAAGTTTTTCAGGATATTGATTGATTAGTGTAGTTAAGCAATGAGGTGGCATCGTTTTGGTTTTGGCAGCACCGAGATCGTTCGAAGCTATAAGTTCTTTCTTTTGTGTTGGTATCGCTTTATGTGTATCTGTAGGCTGTTGTATGTATGTATATATTATGTTTATTTTGAACAATTGAAATAGAGTTTGTCGCTTGAACCTCTTCTGGGTGAAATATGGTTCGTTTCGAGTGGTTTCGTTATATGCATAAAACATAGGATTGTTCGACATTGGTGTATGGATGTTATGTTTCGAACCTCCTGAATTACGAACGATTATTTAATTAAGATATCTGATTTATATTCTTGCATTTCAGAATATTGGTTACAATATCCAATTTTTGAATGGTCAGTTCTTATACTTCTAATAAAGATTAGTTTCTTTTAATTTCTTAGCACTTTTTTATGGTCGTCCAAGTTGTATGAAAATTATTAATTCTTACAAAAATATTAAATCGTAATAAATGTTAAATCTTTAAATTATTAAAAAAAGGTAAAACTATAAAAATTAAATTTTATTGCATTTTAATAATTCAAAGCTTGATTAAATTTTGTACGGTCTTCATCTACAAATACAGTTAAATAGTAATCATTAGTCCCAGAATCCCTCTATCCAACCCTCCATGTCCTCAAACATTCTGAAAAATAGAAAAATTAATAGCATTTGGCTTCGAGTCAATGTCTCCAAGAATTCTTACATCCAACGTGTTCCGACCACCAGAAAATCTCCGACGCATTGGTCGACTTCCTAAATCGTTTCCAATCGCCGAGAGTGGCCCGAAGATCACCAATCTTAGCGACGATAGTCCGACAGCAATTGGCATGGACAGTGGTAACTTGGTTGAAATCCCTACTCTTCTGACAAAACCCACTGAAAAAGAGAGTGTTGAGAAACCTGACCTTGAGATTGAGCCGCCGGATTATGCCGGCACGGATGAGATTGAAGAGAACGTCCTGTTCCTTTTGGCCGGCGGTGGTGTTCTTCATGGAGTACCATTGGTCGAAAAGCGCTATGGTTCTGTTGTTGGATCGGACGAAGTAGAAACCGGTGTTGATGGGATTGGCGGAGGACCATGGATTTCCGTTGAAGTGATCTGTGCTTATTTGAAGATCTTCTGTTTTATCCTTGCTCAGCTTTCCAAATGGGTCCCTCAGCCACATTACATCCGTGTCCTGTTCAAAAATAATTATAATAATATTAGAACCTTAATTCAATAATATTTCCATTTATGACACAAATACTATTCAAACATAATAATAATTTAATAATTTAATTTTTTTTTAGAGGTCAATTAATAAATTAATTATAATTTAAAACAAGTCATAAATATAATAATAAAATATAATTGATTAATTAGTTTCTAACTACAAAGTAAAAATATTCCAAAAAATATATTTTTACTTATTATACGATCATATATACACATATTTGTTTTAAGTTTATAAAAAAAAAAATTTAGTTAATCTATCAGACCAATATATATTTAAAATCAGAAATTATAAATGGTTTATTCGTTACTAATGCAATGTATTTTAGGGAATAAAACATATAAAAACCTAACATACCAAAATTAGATTAAAAAAATCCCTAATGGATGAAAAAAAGTCGTCTAGAATTGAAATTGGATTAAAAAAAAAATTGAAAATTATAAAACGAATGCAAAAGAGGAAAATGATGGTTGCGATATCGATGATAATTATTTGAAATGATATTTTAAGTAAATAATCAAATCAAATGTGTCCTAGAAATCAGTGGATTTGAAAATTTTGCTAATTCGAAAGAAAGACACAATCCCGAGCTATTCGATTCGGCGGTTTGAACACACGCTCGAAGTGAATAATCCTGCGAATATTGCTCCAGGATTTCTCTCCATTGTTAATGGATTGAAGTTATACGATCGAAATCAACGTCGATCGATAATCTCATGAAGAAATTAAATTAAGGATGAAATGATTACCGTGAAAATGAAACTGTAACCGCGCTTGAGAACTTCAAGAAGGAACAGAGTTCTTCTCCACATCATTTTGATGAATTCGTCAGACATGTAAAGCTTCTCTCCACCGAAATCGACGCCTTCCGTCTCCAATTTGAAGCAATTCAGCCGCTGAAATCGGCAACGATCATACGCCGTTTGATCGACAGCGACGAGAAGAAGATGATCGAGCAATCGTCGAGTATCTTCTCCCATCCAAAAGCTACTAAGAAACACATCGAGCATCGTAGTATCGTCTTTCACGCCTTGATCCGCATACGCTTTATTGATCACCGCGATTACGACTGTCCTGTTCGCCATCGCCGCCTTCTCCAGCACCAAATCAAGTTCGTCTCGAGAATCGAGCGATTCAACCTGAAAATCAAAAAAATAAAAAAAATCATCGGCGATTATTGTTATCGATCGTAATCGAAAATCATTTCAATGCAATCGAATAAGGATGAGCCCTAGATAATTTCAGAGAGTGTGAGAGAGCGTACTGAAGTGGAGCGATGGCACTGGAAGCTCGTGGGGAAAAAAACCAGAGGATTCAAACTAGAAGAAGGACCAATGACGATCAACAGAAAGGAAGCGATCAAGAACAGTATGAGAAATCCATAAGTTATGAGAGGAGGTTTCATCGGCGGGAAATCCATTCTCGCTTTTTTGTCTCTTCTCTCACTTAAATTTTTCGTCTCTTTCAGAACAGAGTGGGAGAGTGATGATGGACTCTTAATAGCTGCTTTGTTCTCAACCTTTAAATATACTTTATATTTTCCCTAAAAAAATTATTTTAAAATATTTTAATAATACAATTAAATTTTAAAATAAATTAAAAATTTCACTTTTAATTTTAAATGAAAAAAATACACAAGTTTCGACAATAATTTATTATTTTTTAATATAAATTACAAAATTTATGGGTTTTTTTTTGTATTTATTAATTTAGCATTTAATTAATTGTGATGATTAAATCACTAATAATAAATAATAATAAATATTTTTTGAACTAAAATAATGGTAGAGATTAAAATAATAATTTCAATTTATTTTATTTTAATTTCTTAGAACATTTTTTTAATAGTAAAGTAAAAAATATGTAAAAAATATATATAAGTATCTTATTTTTTAAAATAATTATTAAATGGTGCAAGACATAACAATATATTGTTACAAGTTTGCTTAAATAGATGAATAACTAGATCATAATTTCGTGAATTTTATTTATTTTTTATATTAAGTACATTTAATAAATAAGAAAATATTTAAATGGTAAATTTGATCCTAATTTTTTTTTAAAATTAGAATTTAATATTTATAAATTTCAATTTTATAATTAATTCCTATAATCTTTTAAAGCTCTGATATATAGCCTTATGGTCGAGATTATTTACGAGAATTTTAGCAAACTAAAAATATTATTTATTTTCATCGTAAAAATATTTTAAAATTTTTTTAAAAAAAGTTTAAGGAGCATAATAATTTTATTAATATACCCTTAAAATTTAATAAATAGTTAAGGTTGCTTGAAGTGGGAGAAGTTGACGTTTTCACTTCACGCTTTGTAGTGGCAATATTTACGGATCTGGGCAACAGGGAGGGAGGATTCCGACATGTCGTTCGTTCAAAGCCTCCCTAATTCCAATGCACAATTTTGTTTCCTAGGCTTTGCATTTGAAAGATTAATAACTCTAATAGTCAACTTTGTAGGGATTCATAAACAATTATAATGGATCATTCTATATAATTTCGTATTAAGTTTATTTCGTTTTTATTTCCTTCTGCTCGAAGCACTCGAGATCAAGTTGACTATTTTGATAACACAAATTGAAATAAGAGAGGATCTATAACAGTTTAAGTTCACCGCTAGTAGATATTGTCTGTTTTTTGACCCATTGAGACGTTAGGTTCACAGTTTTAAAATGTGTCTATTAGAAAGAGGTTTCCGTACCTTTGTAAGAAATGTTTTGCTCTCCTCTCCCACGATGTGAGATCTCACAATCCACCCCCCTATTGGGAGCCTAACGTCCTCGCTGCAACGTCCGGTGTCTAACTCTGACACCAACCCAAGCCTACCGCTAGCAGATATTGTCCGCTTTGTCCCATTACGTATTACTATCAGCCTCATGATTCTAAAACGCGTCTATTATGGAGAGGTTTCCACACCCTTATAAGGAATGTTTCATTCCCCTCTCCAATCGATGTGAGATCTCACAAGATTGATCGACAATCAAAATTTACATGAAAAGGAGAAACTCGTTGAATGGTGTAAACTGTTATCAAAAGATTGGAAATGTATAAAAAGTTATTTGATCAGGCAAGCCACGTTGTAACAACTCTTTAATAACCATTGGATGTAGATTAAACGATTCACATGCTCATAACAACCATTAGATACAAATTCGAGTCCTTGCACAAACACTAGTCACGTGATGGCAGTCTCCTCAAAGAACTTCTCAAAATGTAGGTGTTAATGAGATTCGGCATATGTTGCCAAAACTACAAAGGATTCTCCTTATGTTCGAGACTAGACGACAATAAAAATCAATGATCAGCAATAGATACAATAACAGAATCGTTAAAATACATCGAGGGATATAAGTAAACTACATAAACGGGAGCGGGGAGTAAGTTGATCGAAGAGCATTGCTGATGGAATGTTTTCTATTTGGCTTCTTGGATTATGGAGGTTGAGGAACCATCTTAATTGCAGCATCAAGGACAGCCTTGAGAACCGAAGACCACAAGTCCCTTCAAATTCACTTAATGCTTGTCCTATTGTGCTAATCCATGCAGTCATGTACAATAAAAGTAATAGGTCCACAAAAGCAAGCATATTATGGTGTTCTTGGAATATGGTATTAAAAAATCTATAGCTTAAATCTTACTTCATTTCCTACGTTGATCGAGAAACCGATCGATTATTCTAAACCAAAATGACCATCTATTTGTTTGACTTTATACTTGTGGGTGTGGAATACGTGTTTTAATATCGTAAGAGGAAGCCCGAAAGGGAAAGCTCGAAGAGGACAATATCTACTAGCGGTGGACTTAGGCTGTTACAAATAGTATCAGAGCCAGACACCGAGCGGCGTGCCAACGAGAACGTTGGGCCCCCAAGAGGGGTGGATTGTGAGATTCCACATAGGTTGGAGAGGATAACGAAGCATTTCTTAAAAGGGCGTGGAAATCTCTTCCTAATAGATGCGTTTTAAGACCTTGAGGGGAAAGCATGAAAGTAAAAGCCCAAAGAGACAATATCTACCAGAAGTTGGCTTAGGTTATTACAATATAAGCCACTATTCTAATGGATCTAATAGCCAAGGGGAAACATGAAAGTAAAAGCCCAAAGAGGACAATATCTACCCGAGGTGAGCTTAGGTTGTTACAATATAAGCCACTATTCTAATGGATCTAATAAGCCAGGATCTTTCCTCTTAATTAGCCAATGTGAGACTACTCCTCTCAAATCCTTTCCTCCAACAAAGTACACCTCGAGCTCGAACAACCTCACCTTAATTGAAGCTCGACTCCTTCTCTGGAGCACTTGAACAAAATACATCTTTTGTTCGATACTTGAGTCACTTTTGACTACATTTTCGAGACGCGCAACTTTTTTGCTCAACACTTGAGGATTTTATTGGCATGACTAGGTTAAAAATATGACTCTGATACTATGTTAGAAACCACGGCTCTCCACAATGATATAATATTGTCCACTTTGAGCATAAGCTCTCATGATTTTGCTTTTGGTTTCCCCAAAAAGCCTCATACCAACAGAGATAGTGTTTCGTACTTATATATCTATGATTTTCCTCTTAATTAGTCAATCCATAACTACTCATCTCAATAATCCTCAACAATAAAACTTAATAGTCCAAGATAGTCGATCCAACCCCAGGATAGTCTGCCGTCTCTCAGATCGGCCATCCCAAGCAACAGGATAGGACTGCCTATCAGAACACTATCACACAATGCAAAGAACATTGAGGAACAAGAGTAGGACTGCCAATCAGAACACTGTCCTTTTAACATTCACACTCCACCTTGGTATCAGTTAGACAGTTCAAATTATCTTAACTTGATGCAGTGGCATTATCGTTTTCTTAAAGATTGGAGTACCCAATTTAAAATGGACCAAAGACAAAAGTTTGATCCGAGCAAGATAGTAGAGACACCTATTCAAAGGGTCATTGCTAATGCTCCTTGCAGTTGTGGAAATTTCGGAAATATAGTGGCCTCTAAGTATGGATTGTGTCCTAGTAGTCTCTCTCTTACTCAGGAGATGCCTTCTTCGGAGACTTCGGTTTAAAATCTTTCTCTAATCTCGATGAGTGTGGATCTTGAGAGGAGCCTTTGGACTTTTCATCATGATCATTTAAATGAAGAGGCTTTGAAGCTAGGGTTGACTTCTCTTCTTTTTTAGTTCAAGAACTCGTGGGAATGGAAAAATTCAAACTTTTGACCTCCTAGTCGAGAAATTATGCATTTAACCAGTTGAGCTACACTTAGTTTGCAAGTTAAGATTGTCTATCAAGCTTTCCATCATTCCATATTTCTAGAAAACAACTGTGAGATCCCACATCGATTGGAAGAGAGGAACGAGTGACGTTGGGCCGACCCTGAAGGGGGATAGATTGTAAGATCCCACTTCGATTGAGGAGGAAAGCGAAACATTATTTATAAGGGTGTAGAAATCTCTCTCTAACAGACGCATTATAAAAATTTTGAGGGAAAACCCAAAAAAGACAATATTTGATCGCAGTGGGCTTGAGATTACTTGAGTTGTTAGAACAATGTTTAGACAATGTCATTGAGTGCCTTCAGCTCTTTATTTTTCCACTGGATTTCCCTTCCAACTATACCAATAAATTTAGGAGGAAAGAGACCTAAACTGATTATTGTCAATGGGAAAAGAAACAAGTGAAGAAGAATACCGAAACAATCTATGGAGTAGCTCACAAACTGGAAAGATTTGGAACACATATTCTGAGAAGAAAACATTTGAAATATAGTCTCGACTCTCGACTCAAAGTCCATCTCAATTTCCTCTTGGTACTTGATATATAACCTTTTCAGATAACCAAATCCTATACCTGTTGATACACAAAAATAAAATCTATGACGAGAAAACTTGGGTGAACTACAGTGTTAGATCGATGGTGATTATAGTTTGTGTTTCGTTTCAATTCGATCCTGTGATCTTAAAGACTTCATTTGTCAGGTAATTCGCTGAAGTCTCCTAAATCGTCACTCCACTTGCAAGATTTAAAGGTTTTCGTACTTCATTGGAAGTGGCGATTTGAGTCAATTAGGGTTTAAGCTTAAACAGATGAACATATAGAAATCTCAGAAAAGAAAATCGCTACAATTTAATAACAAAACAGAATAAATGAAGCATGATAATCAGAAGCAGAGGAAATGAAAATCACCAGCAGTGTCCTTGAATCCCTAATTAAGAACTGCCGATTAACCAAAACATTGGCGCTGAAATCACAAAGAACAGTCGGAACATAATCCTGCCAAAACAAAACACATCATAATCAAACCGAGAATTCTCTTTTCTTAGAGAGAAACAAAAGCGAAATTTCAGATGAACTAAAAAAATCCAAGAAAACAGGCGAAAATGGCAAAAATCTAGAGAAAAAAATCAAATAGAGAATGAGAGAAACCACATTGCAATCGCGGATAAGCTAGAAAACGAGCGAAAATGAAAAATGCAGAGGAAGAATCATACCGTCGAAAATGTGTTACTGGTGAAATGAGAAGGCAAGACATCTTCAACAGTCAGGCACTTTATAGAATTCGTAGACGCCATCGTTGCACTTGCCGGAGAAATGGGGCGGCACAGATGCAAGTTCAAACAATCCAGCCTTAGGAGTATAGACTTATTGAGGTAAAAGAATTGGAGAAGCACTTAGACTTAAGATTGGGAAGAGGCCGCGCGAACGCAGGCCTCCACTGCCACAAATTATGACGTAGGCTCTGCCACTTTGGGCAGACCTTAGGCGGGCACCCCTCCTAAGTGCAATGGAGGTCACCAACCTAGGCCATGAGTCTTCATGATCACCCATTGACCCCGTCCAGGTAAGTATGTTGCATGGGATGCAGTTCCTTCCTTTATATACTGCTACCAACCTCTCCTCTTCCCACGCTTTTCCGATGTGGGACGATTTTAGTGCATGCAAGTGCGCGTTGGGCTCTTTCCTTCTGAAGGGCCCAACAAGCTCTCGGAGTGGAATCTTAGCAGGCATTTTTTTCGGCCAATTTTATTATAATTTAGATTATATATAATTGCATTAATTTACAAATTGGTTTTATAATGTAAATATTTAGTTTTTATAGTATATAAATAAATTCAGCCCTAATTTATTAATGCTATATTAAAAAAATTAATTCAATTTTAATAAACTTGTTCTAATAAGTTTGAATCACATGACAAACTCATGAATATATTAAACTTTTTGTGTTCGATTCAGGTCAATTTGAGATTTTTTTTCCTATGAACCCAAAATCGAACCAGTCAATTCGAACTCAGTAAATAACTCAACTCGACCTAACCCATATAATTTTAATTGAGCTACTCCAATTTATCGGGTTAGATATACACCTCTAGCCCTTTGAATTATTCAAGTTAACATAATATATATTGATAATTAATTAACTTTACGGCTAGTTTGAGAAGGAAACCACAGTGTCCATGCCTAATCAGCGCCATTTTCTTTCATCTCAAGGTGTTCTGGCTCTATTTGATCAAATCATCTCCTTTCAGCTCTAATACTCCGTCTCATGGTGCTAGGTCTTTCAAGCTCCAAAATCGGGGCACGGTCCAACGAAATAATTTTTTTTTTATTAAAAGTATTATGTAATGAATGCATAATATAATGATTTTATATAGTTTTATGCATTTCACCCAAAATAAAAAGTTTAGAGGTAATTATTAAAGTAAATAAGAAAGCAAGCATAACTGTAAGTTTCAGTGGCATATTATAATAAAAAAATTCATTAACGGTGGTATGCAGTTTGAATCCTAACACTCTAGGTAAGGATAAAGAACATTCTTTTATATAATAAAGTTACAATTCGCTTAAATTTTAAATATAAAGATAAACATATAATAACATCAATTAGATCATCCAAATTGCATACTTCCCGATTCTAGATTCAAAAACACCTAACATGTCTGATTCCGTATACAACCATGTCCGAGCTCCAATTTATACTTTTTTTTACATTGAATATATGTTTATAAAATATTATAGGATTCATAAGGATGGTTTATGTTTTTAATAGAAATTATTGATAAAAAAAAAGTTTCCTAATTCCCCGACCAGGATGGAGACAAGGAAGACTTTCCCGACTCACTCTGTAGACATCCGAGAGGCATTTTTCACTTAAATATCTAACGCCCGATAGTGATGTGATGCAGTTGACCAAATAAAAAAACCATATTCGAAGGCAAGCAAGATGTTGCAGTCTCAAAATCCAGAATGATTAAAAATAATGTGGCCAAGAGAGCAGAGATCAGCTAGTTTAAAAGCTCTGGAATCTCGGCTTCAAACGAAGTCAAATGGGTCTCAAATTGCTTCCAAAAAAAACTCTACACTATCACAGACCACTAAAGTAAACTGAAGACAAGAAAAACAAAATCTAAATTAAACTTAACTCTCTGTCTGTTCCCTCAACCTTCGGATCGTGCTCCTAACGGTCACGGCACTCGCAGTGCTGCCCAAAACAAAGAAACAAAATCAAAACCTTGAACTGGGTTTGAAAGCACAAATAGCATTGCATAACAAGAACCAATTAAATCTACTCACTTCAATGTGTAGGCACCTCCGGCTTTCACCTTTCCACAGTCCTTGCAACCCCATATCCCAACAGCCTTCCTCTTCACGGCATACTGTTAAGAGTTTGAGACAGAAGTCATTGATTTGAATCTTTGAAATTTAACAAGTACCACCGAAATGTCATCTTTTATCAGAAGTTCAGAGAATTGTTATACTGATGGCAAGTAATTTTTTTTCTATAAATAGGATAAGGAGTTGATCGATCCAATGATATTACATTTTTATGGAAGATACATCATAAACCATGTCACCGTGGTATTTGGACTGGAAAATTTGCAACCGAGACCAACATTAAAGTCATTTATCAGTATGTTTAAACTCTAGCATTGTTGTGGAACCAAAGTTTTAAAAGGCTATTAAGGCTTATCTCAAAGGAAGACTAACTTTTGGCCTCAGGACTAAAACCTCTATCAAAATGCACCAATGCTTAAAGTCTCTACACTAGGTGATTAGAAAAATAATACTAATTTTGCCTCATTCTCTAAAATATAAAAGTTGGCGTGGTAACAATTTGAACTATTGCTTCATTTACGCTTTAAAGATGTTAAATATAACATTTTAGAATTATTAATTAAGTGGTAATCAACAGGGTACATTTTATGTTTTGATACAAGTAATAAGTTAAGTAATACTTGTACAAACAAATTTAGGAATTGCCTAATGTTTTTCATTAAAAAATTGAGGCTTACGCCTCATATCACCTCAAGGTGGTCTTTTAAAACATTGCATGGAACTACTTGTAACCCAAATAGCAGTAAGTAAAAGCTGAATAAATAAACTTACCTTTCCACAGAACTCGCAGAAATATTTGCTGTGCTGACTGACTTCCATCTTCTTAATCTGCTTCCTCAAACTAGCACCATATCTGGTACCTGGTACAGAAGACAGATAATAAACCAATTACAAACAGAACTAAGCATATCATAATGTACACAAACGTGAACAGCAAAGGATAGAGGAAGAGGAGGCTCTTGAAAAGCTCCCAATCTCTTCAAAACTATTGCGCAACTAATCAAGCCATATGTTAACGTAGTCGAAGGCGGCTCTTCTTTAGAAATCATCATTCAATAATCTCTTATCAATCCACAACTTGGAGTACAGATTAAATTTCACTGCTAGTAAAAGCATAAGATGTTAGCACATACCGTATTTGCCGACAATGCCAGCCTTCTTGGTTCTCTTCGTCTGCGATAATACAGGAAAGCAAAATAAGTACTAGTTAGAAATCGCTACAGAACACGTACCATATATATATATATATTCGGTGAACAATCTTCCCAAATAAGTCCTCTCAAGACATGTTCAATTCTCTCTTCGAATATACAAAATCAAAGAAAAATAGATAACCGTAAATTACCTAACCTATCTGCAAGATTAAATCAAGCTTTTAACTACGTGAGATCCATGAAACCGACTTGATTATCCTCTACCATAGAGCGACCTATTTTCCTTCCCAACGTTTCATTTATCAAAAGAACGAAACTCAAGCTTTTGATTCTAGATCATTTATCTCTCCTCGCTAATTTATCCTACATACTACAGACATCATCTCTTACCTTCGAACCTTCTAAAAGAACTTCAAATTTCCAGAAACAAGAAAGTAGTAAAGAAAATCATGAAATCCGTAAGAGAGATAAGAGTACCATTGTTGAAACCTTCGAGCAACAAGGACACCTCTGGAGAGACGCTGGTGCAGAGACTGAACGGCCAAGCGGGAAAGCCCTAGTTTTTCTCTGGCTGTTTATATAGCCCCCGACAAAACACTAAATTCGTTTCTGGCCCAACTTTGGTATCGGGGTTTAAAGCCCATTTTCATGAGCTTAGGTTTGTTGGGCTTAGTTGGATATCGGCCCAAACTAGGACAAATTTAGAAGAAATTAGTACGGACCAACCCTATCCAGAGTTGGGTTGGATTAGGTTCATTTTTCTGAACTCGAGCCGACTCAATTCGGTTTCAAGTTCATGAGCCAAAACCTTCCAATTGACCTTAGTTGGCTCGATTCGGTTTCGAGTTCATGAGACAAAACCTTTGGTTGACTCTAGCCAAATAAAAATGTATATAATACATTAAGAAATTTATAGTAATACTGGGTTTGTCAAAGTGGTACGGCCTCTTGTATATAAACTTAAAATCGAAATCAATTGAAAATGTTCAAATTCGATAATTTCGACCTATGATCATTAAAAGTTATTAAAAAATAATTTCACGTTTAGCTAATTTTCGATCCATTTTTTGTTATCGGTACTGTTTGCTGCTTTTTGTTTATGTTTTGAGACAGTTCATTAACGATATGGGATCTCCCAATCCATCTCCCTTTGGGCCTCAGTGTCTTTGACGACACATCGTCTGGTGTCCACCCTCATTTAGAGCTCAGCATCTTCACTGACACACTGGTTCGTTGTTTGGCTCTGATACCATTTATAACAGTTCAAGAGATGACAATATCTGCTAGCGGTGTGTTTTGCCTTTTTGTTGACGCTTTACTCGGACTCGATCCCATCCAATCGAGGCATAATTTGAGCTTAAAAATTCCATACTCGGACTCGATCCCATCCAATCGAGACTGGTACGTTGTCTGGCTCTGATACCATTTATAACAGTAGCGCTTGTGGCAATGTCTTAAGGTTCCAATATATTGCATCCGGGTTCAAAATGAACTTGTCGATAGACCGCGGGCCAAGTATTAGTAAATAAACGAGACATTAGTTATAAAATAATAATAATAATAAATAAATAAATAAATAAATAAATAAATAAATAAATGTCAAACATTCAAAAGAAATAATATTTAAATTTGAAAGAAAACAAAGTGAATTACTCCACTCCACTCCAACTAACAGAATTCCACTAGTTTTGCTTCCTCTTCCCCTCGGCTCTCTCTTCCTTCTTCTGTTGAAAAATTCCAAGTTCTGTACGCTCTCTCTCTCTCTCTCTCTATGACCAAGTCCAAATACACACAAAGATTTCAGATGTCCACATTTGATTTGTAAGTTTTGTTTCAATCCAATGCAGATTGTTGTTTCATGGATGAATTTTGATTTTTTTAGATTCAGTTCTCAATGTGGTTTTCATCAGTTCTTGCTGCGATTTATTGCACGGGAAGAAGAATTGGTTCGGTAATTGCTGTAATCCTCAGCATTTTGATCGCTCGTACTCTTTATTTTTTTTTTTTTTTTTTTTTCTGTTGAATGTTTCTATTTAGGCCTTTATATAGCTAGCTAATTTGTTCGTTATCGTGATTTGAATTCCATAACTCTCAAAATGTCGCTGCGTCGAAGGCGGTAGAGTGTATTTCGAGTATTGTTCTTTCAATCGAGACATTAGGAAGAATGACGATTGCAATTTCGGGAAATCATTGCGTCTGTAGTGACCTGAGAGGGAAATTCCTGTATTTTGAACTACAAAGTTCTGATTTATAGAAACTGGAAAGAGAAAAAAACTTAAGAACTTACTATTCTTTTTCTTCTTTTATAGATTATACTGAAGAATCTCCAAAACATGGTAGACAAATCAGACAAGGATGTCTCCTATTGGTAATGAATTCGTTAATCTCTTCGCGTTTATCTAACCCTTATGTTTTCTTTCTTTTGCACTGATTTAGATGTTTGGAAATGGTTGCTCGTCTTGATTCTGATTTGCAGGTTACCTAAGCCTAAATCTAGAATTGATATGCAGTTCCATGTCCGTGGGGTGCCCTTTACTTTGGAAAGGGTGAGAATGTGGGAGTCTGGATTCAGATACATATTTGTTTTGCTCAAATCTCTGCGATCTTTTAGTTATCTTTATAGTTTTTCTACAGGATATCATAGTAGAAAAGTCGGCCAAGATCGTGGAGATACTGAATGAGCAATCCGATGACAGTATCTATCAGTTCCTCAGAAACATACCAGCTCATCCTAAGACATTTGAACTTGTTGCAAGGTTCTGCCATGGGTTTGAACTGCAAATGTCATGTGAGAATGTGCTTCCTTTAGCATGTCTTGCTTTCTATCTGGGGATGACTGAAAGTCACAGCCCAAATAATCTGTTGAGCAAAGCAGTTACCTTCTTTGAACAGAGAATCCTCCCCAGCTGGAATGAAACTGTTAAGGCTTTTCTTACAACAGAAGATATCATACAACAGGCAGTGGATACAGGCCTTGTTGGTGAATGCATTGAGTCTTTAGTTTGTAAGGCAGTGAATGATCCTTACCTCCTTGGTGAACCGCTTGTGAATTTCGTAAATGATGAACTCAGTGAGGATGATGAGTTTCATCACAAGCCCAGTGCAAGAAGAAAGCTCTTTGTTTCTGAATGGCAGTCGGAGGATTTGACAATTCTGCCTCTTTCGCTATATGAATTAACCATTCATTCTATGAACCAGCATGCTGTACCGCCGAGATTTGTAGCTGCATCCCTTTTGAAGTATGCAAAGAAGTGGGTTTTTTGCAGTGCTAAAGGAGATAAAAAAATGTCGGTATGCAAAACAAACCATCAGAGGGAAGTCATGGAAGCAGTGGAGAGGCTACTGCCTCATCAGAAGGGACTATTTCCTTGCACAATACTGTTTGAAATGCTTCGTTTTGCCATTCATTTGGAAGCTAATGTTGGCTGTAGGAATGGACTCGAGTTGAGGATAGGAAAGCAGCTTGATCAAGCTACAGCAAGTGATCTTTTAATACCTTCTCGAGACTATGCTAAGGAAATGCATTACGATATCGAGTGCGTGAAGCGGATTATAAAGCACTTCTATAGAGATTATAACTCAAATATGGAAGGACTAACTGCAGTGGCGAGACTCATTGAGGAGTTTTTGATTGAGGTTGCCAGTGACAGAGATTTGGAGATAAGTGCATTTGTTTCATTAGTTGAAATGTCAAGTGCAGCGTCAATGGGAACTGATAGGAGCTCCGATGGAATATACAGGGCTATAGATATATACCTGGACAAGCATAGCTACCTGACTGAATCTGAAAAAGAAGAAGTGTGCAGAGGGCTGGACTACCATAGGATGTCGGCTGAAACTTGTGAACACGCAGCCAAGAATCAACGATTGCCATTAAGGATAGTGGTCCAAGTGCTATTTTTGGTGCAATTGCAACTTCGCGATGCGATCACGAGGGAGATGCAAGGTCCTGACAACAGATTGACACAGGACGAGGTCGAAAAGGACGAAAGAGAGTTGGCCTTAAATGATGGAGTACAAAAAAGTGAAATGGAGAAAATGAGCAACAAGGTGATGGAACTAGAGAAAGAATGTCATATGATGAGGAAAGAGATTGAGGAAGGCTGCATCCACATGGTGAAAAAGGAGAAGACAAGCATGTGGAGAGAAATGAAGAGGAAGTTTGGTTGCATAAATAAGATGAACAACTGCAATTGCCAAGTTAAAAAGAAAAAGGTTCATCCAAAACTATGGCCTTGACTAACAGACAACGGATCCATCCATAAACTCTTCTGTAATTATTTGATTACATGCTTCTGCATTATCATTCTAATGGCCCTATTTTAGTGAATAAATCTCCTAGTTTATGGGCATCAAGCCAAAATTTTCCCCAAGGTAACTGTTCTTTTGCCACCTTGCTTTTTCAGCATCATGTCATTTACCTTACAACATGCAGATTTGGAATTGTCGACAAAAAGAACAGAGTTTATTGAAGTTTTTTTGATAGAATAAGAACGATGCTTCATAGAGCACTTCACTGAGATACCAGTGATAATAACTAAGTGCATGTATCTTATTGGTTATTTCTTAAACAATCACCACATAGTTCAGTGAAAAAGGAGAAGTAGAATGATATAGGAAAAGGTACTTAGAATTGGAGTTGTTGTTATATATTTTGCCTCCTTTAGTATCTCCAAAATCAATAAATATTCAAGCAAGGGGCCAGAATTCTTGTGACAATGATGGAAGGATACCCAGTGGTCCATTTTCAGCAAAATTCCCTCAATCTTTTTCAAAGTTGAGATGTATCTTTCAGCATGCCAGTTTAGCCAATCATGGTATGACCTCTCTCTCTCTCTCTCTCTCCTTCTGGGTTTCAAATCAAAATCTGAAAAGTTTAGGCCAACATCTTCATTCTCCAAACATTGAGATATTGAGGAAGTAAGCTATTCGTCAACAGGTATGCACCTAACTTGAGACCATTTTTCCTTCTAATTATTGTTGAAATGGTTTAATCAAGAGTAAACCCATCTGATAAAGCATCAATCTCAGCCTTAGAAATGGAGATTGAGATTTAGGCAATGTAGTTTGCCTGTATTTCTAGTTCTTTACTTTATTAATTTGTGCAACTTTTATTTTTTCCTTATTATATAGATATGGTACTTAAGCTTTGTCTGATTTAGATGGCGTTTCTTTATGTTAGTATCTGATATCAGTACTTCTGCTGAGACATGTTTTGATTTGGAAGAATAGTATAGAGTATAAATTTTAAAATTTAAATATTGAAATAAAGTTTAACGAAGGGAAATTTGATAGTCCTGCATAGATTCTGACAACTCTGCATACCGCAACAAAGTGAAAAGAGCATAATTGACAGTAGAAAATGGCTAATCATTGAGACAATTCTTAGGCTTCTGAAGCACACTTCCTTGAGTTAAAAACGTGTAGAACTCAACTGGTTCAGACAATTCTGATCAGTTACCCTCAGCAATATCCCAAAAAGAACAGAAAAGAAAAGAGGAATTCTTTACTAAAGCTTTTACAGAATATGATCCATGAGTAACCTCTTTGAAGAGGCTTGTAAATTGCGAAATGTATGTTCAAATTTAGTTCATTTTGTTTGTTAATCTGGTATAAATCTGGGATTCTTCTGTGATTTCACCAATATATTACAAAAATAAGAATTTCTTTTTTCAAATTTTGTACAGTTTGTAAATCTACTTTCAACCGGGAATGATGCAACTCTTCCCTTTCCAATTCCCATAATTTGTAAAACCCAGCTTCCCAGTTGAGATAGATCTATGCATTTCCAAGTTGGAAACTCTGGAATGGCAATCCTCTTGAACAAATGCTTTAGAAGATCCAATCCCCATTTGTAATTCATCTTCTTCTACCTCTTCCTCGCTATCTTGACTGGCTCTCAGTATATCAGCAACAGAAACCTGTCCTTGCCATGATAAAGAATTCAAGGAAACTGACCTTCTAAATGGCTGAACAGCATCATCTTGTCTTACTTGATGAATCATGATGTTTCTTGGCTCTGAATCTTGATTATCTGATACAAAACTTTGCCTTTGATTCTTGGAAGAAACACCATCATTTTCAAGCCCCAAAACGGCAGTTTCTTGGCTGCTGACTGGTAAATCCGGCAAATCTTGAACCACCACAACAACTACTGTGTCATTGCTTCTGTGTTGATACTGAAAATTATATGAATTTAAATGTTCTGTTCTTTGAATTTCCTGAGTTGGGGGTGGGAAAAGATTGATGGGTGAGATGTTGGAGCGGCAGAGAGGGCAAGTTGAGTGAGATTTGAGCCACGTATCAATACAAGGAAGATGAAAGGCATGGCTGCACTTTGGCAGAAGCCTTAAGCTCTCATTTTCTTCAAACTCACTCAAACAAACTGAGCAATCTGTGCCTTCAACTAACCCATCTCCTCTTTTGTACTTGCAGACTGTGATGGACTTGATGAGAGCCTCATCCAGGCCTGCCGGAGGAAGAGGAGCTTGGAGCTGGTTTTCATGGCGGATTTGAGAAAGATTTTCTTCATCATCCATTTCCATGTTGGAGTTGGAAGTGGCAGCTCTGTTCCTGCAGTACTTGGAGATGATGGTGTAGTAGCTTACCAAAATGAAGGCGCTGGCCAAGATTCCAATGATGGCTATGATAAGAGGGGAGAAATCAGTGCCGGAATCGCTATTGGTTCCATAGCCAAAAGGTGGAGGTGGTGGGAAGATGATGTAACACCACTGGGGGCAATATATGCTGCAAATCTCTAAAGAACAGTCCCTGTAAGCATATGGCTGCCATTGATTTGAGTTTCCCACAGAACCCATTCTCCTCTGCCACTCGTAGATCTTGCAGGTACTCCTATTCTCTCTTTTTTCATATGTTTGTGGTAGGAGAGAGAGAGAGAGAGAGAGAGAGAGAGAGAGAGAGAGAGAGAGAGAGAGAGAGAGAGAGAGAGAGAGAGAGAGAGAGAGAGAGAGAGAGAGAGAGAGAGAGAGAGAGAGAGAGAGAGAGAGAGAGAGAGAGAGAGAGAGAGAGAGAGAGAGAGAGAGAGAGAGAGAGAGAGAGAGAGAGAGAGAGAGAGAGAGAGAGAGAGAGAGAGAGAGAGAGAGAGAGAGAGAGAGAGAGAGAGAGAGAGAGAGAGAGAGAGAGAGAGAGAGAGAGAGAGAGAGAGAGAGAGAGAGAGAGAGAGAGAGAGAGAGAGAGAGAGAGAGAGAGAGAGAGAGAGAGAGAGAGAGAGAGAGAGAGAGAGAGAGAGAGAGAGAGAGAGAGAGAGAGAGAGAGAGAGAGAGAGAGAGAGAGAGAGAGAGAGAGAGAGAGAGAGAGAGAGAGAGAGAGAGAGAGAGAGAGAGAGAGAGAGAGAGAGAGAGAGAGAGAGAGAGAGAGAGAGAGAGAGAGAGAGAGAGAGAGAGAGAGAGAGAGAGAGAGAGAGAGAGAGAGAGAGAGAGAGAGAGAGAGAGAGAGAGAGAGAGAGAGAGAGAGAGAGAGAGAGAGAGAGAGAGAGAGAGAGAGAGAGAGAGAGAGAGAGAGAGAGAGAGAGAGAGAGAGAGAGAGAGAGAGAGAGAGAGAGAGAGAGAGAGAGAGAGAGAGAGAGAGAGAGAGAGAGAGAGAGAGAGAGAGAGAGAGAGAGAGAGAGAGAGAGAGAGAGAGAGAGAGAGAGAGAGAGAGAGAGAGAAGGAAGAGGAGTGAGAGAGAGAGAGTTTTGAAGGGTGGAGGGATGAAGAAAAAGAGACCAAAATTGGGGGGACTTGGATGCAAAGGAAAGTAAAGTTGGAGGAGGAGGTGGGAAATTGTTATATCAGCTATCCGCTCTCTCTCTCTCTCTCTCTCTCTCCAATTCTTGTCCTAACCTTTTACTTTTCTCTTTTTCAAGTCTTGTTCTTCAAAAACATGCCTTCAACAAAGAAATATGGTCCATATTGGTTTGTCTAAATTCCTTGTGTGTGAGAGTTTAGGTTTCACGCAAAGCTAAATGATATAAAATTTTCCTTTGACAAATGGAAGAAGATGAGTGTAGGTGTGGGTTTCATAAATCTCGATGAAACCTCCGAGTCGATGGGTTGGGTTGTAAATGTTTCAACCCGAATAACTCAATACCCAGCCTGTACGGTTTGAGTTGGATTATCAACTTATTTGAGTGTAGGTGTGAGTTTTATAAAGTTTGGTGAACATCCAAATCGGTAGGTCGGGTTGTAAATGTTTCATCCCAAACAACTCAACCCAATTCAAATAAGTTGATAATTCAACTCAAACCGTTAAGGTTGGATGTTGAGTTTGATCAAATTTTTTGGGTTAGATCTTTTATGGAAATAGACTGACTATTGGAGATATTTGTGTTACTTCGTATGCACTGGTTTGTACACGAATGCGTGAGTTATATCGAGTACTCAGTGAATTATAGATCAATCAACTTTGCAAATATTAGTGAACTTAGTAAGTGGGTTGGGTTGTAAATTTTTCAACTTGAATAGAGTTGTACATTTTTCTAACCCGAACAACTCAACCCAATTCAAATAAGTTGATAACCCAACTCAAACTGTATAGGTAGGTTGTTGAGTCGATCAATTTTTTTAATCAGATTTTTTATGGAAATATTCGTCTGCACTAGTTTGTACACGAATGCGGAGTCATACTGAGTATTCAGGACCACTGAAATTTGTCTTTTCGAGAAGGATAATCAACTCCGATCAAAACTTGAACTTTTGTATAGGTACGCAATTTGGAAAGTCACACCAAAAGAGTTGGTGAATTTAGGTAAGACAAACCCATTGGAACCATAAAAATTCACTTCCTATCATTTCATGCTCTATTTATACACCATCTCTATTGATTAATATTTACTATGAGATTATAAGCATAATTTAAAATATTTGAATATTAATAAGATATTATTAATAATATTATTTTATATTTTCACAATTTTGTCTCAGGTGATTATAATAATATAATCCATCCCCATTAAGCCCATTTATTGAAACCTAATTTTATATTATTTTTTAAACTTTAATTATTATCAAATCATATTATGGATTTTTGTCTCTGATTCTCTCTCTAAATCTCAATCACAAAACAATTTAATATTAAAAGAAAAGTTCAATTAAATAAAAAGATAATCTCACCATATTATTAATTATAATAATATTAAATTTTATTATTAATAGACATTTTTGTCACATTATAATAAATAAATATATCGGCTCGGAAAAAAAAAAAGAAGAAAAAAACAGGCTTCCTACCGAAGCTCATACCAGATGGAAGCCAAGCCATCACGTGCAATCACGTGAGTGTGTGACGTGGCTAGTTTTTATTGGTGTGGTAGTTGAACGAGAGGAGACTTCCAGAAGATAATTTAATTCCAAGAAAATATAAATTATATTTTTTTATATAGGTTTTCTAAAATTAATTTACAAAATATTGAACTTGAAATAATAATATTACTCAAATTATTAATTATTTTAATTATTTATAGTTTAAAAATTATCAAACTATATATTATAACAAATAATTAGATTGGTTCCTTCTATTTTATTCATATTTTAAGATTATTTAATATAAATATTTTGAACCAAAATTCGTTAATTAATTAATTAATTAATTATATGACAATGATAGTTTACTTGTAATGAAAATGATATCTCTAAATATGATTATAATTTTTCGTTTGTTTATGTAATTCGATCACATTAAAACGGTAATCAATCTGACTCTGGATGATAATTGTGGGACCCATACTTCTTTTTTTGAATTTATCTAGGTTGAAAACTATATTAAATCCATAGTTATTTTTATGCTTTCATTAAAATTTCTTCATTTTTTTTAAATCTCTTTCATTTCTTTCCTTTGATATGTCGAATGATGATAATATTTGGGTGAGATCTCATATCGGATGGAGAGGAGAACGAAATATTTTTTTTTTATAAGAGTTTGGAAACTTCTTCATAATAGATGTACTTTAAAACTGTGAGACTGACGAAGATACGTAACGAGTTAAAGGAGACAATATCTGCTAGTGGTGAGCTTGGATTGTTACAAACGGTATCGGACCTAGACACTGGGTGGTGTTCCTGCGAGCACACTATCCCCCTAAGGGAATGAGTTGTGGAAACTTATCCCTAACAAACACATTTTAAAGTCGTGAGACTGAAGACAAATGTAATAGACTAAAGCAGACAATATCTACTAGCAGTGAGTTTGGACGGTTACAAATTTCGATCATAATTTTAATCTAGACGAAAAATCATAATTACAACACTAAAAATTATTTTTCTTGAGTGATTTTTGATATGGTATATTACAATCATTTTAAAATAAGTTAATTAATATTATTTTATTAAATAAAAAATGGTGGTTTTTTAAAGTAATTAGATCAAAACTATGTGTTTTGAAATCTTCCATTTTTTTTAAAAAAAAAATAGATATTAAGTGTTTTAAAGCATAAACAATTTTGAAAAAAAATGGATTTTAATTATTATAGTATATTCTTTATTACTACATTTTAATTAATTAAAAATATAAAAATCCATTCTAATAGTCGTTCATATTTCATTCCATTTCCAAATATTAGTAAACAACACCAATTAATTATGATTATCGTTCCAATTAACTCAAAGTAAATACCCTAAAAAACAATTGATTCAATTTCGTTAAATTTTCACCACAATTACAACCATTTTTATTATGATTTAATAAATAGTTATTTTAAATATTACTTATAAACTGATAATTTGTCATTTGAATCGACTAAAAAAACGTAGGTACATTTCTTTTTTTTTTTTTTTTCTCAATAAGTCAAAATCCAATATATATAATGATATGACACAAACAAAGAGAGATATTGTCCGGGCAAATGTACGGTTGGCTATGGACATATATTCTGAAACATAAAGATGATGGCTCTATCGAGAGGGCTTGTCTTGTGACGAAAGGTTTGACACAAACCTATGACATAAATTATTTCGAGACTTATCCTCCCATAGTCAAACTCAAAAGAATGCCATACGGAGTCATTCTGTCAGTTGTAGCTAACAGATCTTGATCACTGCACCAACTCGATGTAAAAATGGCCGTTCTTCATGAAAAATAGAGTGAAAGGGTCTACCCAAAATCAAGGGGTACTAACAAAGAGTCTCAATCAAGAAATACAACTCTATTAAGTCAAAAAAGGGATCATTCCATGGGCCTATAATTTATCAATAATGTTTGTACAGCAAAAAGACAGTTCTTTTCGGTCCTTCCATTTTACAATTACACCAAAATAATGTTGAGGGCTTCGTCATGAATGTGAGCAAGAAACTAACAGGGAAGAGACTATATATGCATTTGTGTCTATAAAAGAGTAAGAGGAAAAAGAGCAGCAAGAGCAAACCTTTATGATTTATTTGATTTATTGGTAAAAACTATGATGGATCGATTCCTGAATTCAATTACATCTCGTTTGCGTAATGAATGAATGATGAGTATCGACACAATACTTGAACGACGAATGAGTTCGGTCTATGATTTTACTTTCCTTCTATCGTCCATTGCCTGCTTGAAGAATATATGAGATTCAGTCTAAAAGCTTAAAGAATATATGATGAGTATCGACACAAAAATTTGTTCTATATATTTCCTACAGCTTGTTGTTCCCACTGACATGGTTTTTCTAAAGCCCCAGAAGTTATTTAATCATTCAAAATCTCGGGTTTAACGCCTTTTTACAAGTTGGTTGATTACACTTCTTGAAAAAGGAATTGAAAACAAAAGCAGAAAACTCTTTAGACAAGAACTGTGTGAAGGAACACAAAGTCTCCCAACATCCACAAGAGGAGGCTTTAGGGAGGCTTATCACCCAAGCTCCATGATTTGAGCCTTTGGGCAGATTCCTTAATCAAAGAAAACTTTTGTGGTCTCCTAGAACTAATGTTAGAGCGTGTTTAGTCTCTTGCAAGTTAATCA